GCTGCTGCTGCTGTTGCTGTTGCTGTTGCTGCCGTTGTTGCAGGTGTTGCCGTTGTTGCTGCTGCTGCCGTTGTTGTTGTTGTTGCTGCTGCTGCTGCTGCTGCTGTCGTTGTTGCTGCTGCTGCTGCTGCTGCTGCTGCTGCTGCTGCTGCTGCTGCTGTCGTTCTTCTCGTTGTTGGTGGTGGTGCTGCTGCTGTTGTTATTGATGTTGGTGATGTTGGTCGTTGGCGCTGCTGTTGCTGCTGCTGCTGCTGCTGCTGCTGCTGCTGCTGGTGTTGTTGTTGCTGCCGTTGTCGTTGCTGTTGCTATTGCTGCTGCTTTTGATGTCGTTGTTGTTGTGGTCGCCGTTGCAGTTGCAGTTGCGCTTGCGGTTGAGGTTGCTGTTGCTGTGGCTGCGGTGCTGTTGTTGCTGCTTCTGCTTTTGCGGCTGCTTTTGCTGCTGCCGCTGTTGTTGTGGCGGTGGTGGCGGTGGTGGCGGTGGTGGTGGTGGTGGTGGTCGTGGTGGTGGTCGTGGTGGTAGTGGCGGTGGTGGTGGTAGTGGTGGTGGTGATGGTGGCGGCAGTGGTGATGGTCGTGATGGTGCTGGTGCTGGTGCTGGTGCTGCTGCTGGTGCTGCTGGTGCTGGTGGTGGTGCTGCTGGTGGTGATGGCTGCCGTTGGTTTTACTCTGTCTCTGCCGTCGTCGTCGTCGCTGTTGTGATCATGGTCTGGAACCTGTCATGATGCTAACCTGGAGTAAGCATTGTGACAACAACAATCTTGTGTGTTGCTCAAAGAAACACTGACAACTCGCTAAGGACTGCTGTTACTGTCGCCATGCTCAACATTTAGATCAGGTTTGCGGCACAAGCACCGCGCTGAAAGTCTTTACAACATCTTGAGGGGCCGGACAGCAGAAGCTAAGGACGCGGCACTTGCGGGCCATCGCTGCCGCCTCGCTGTCCAGATGGTCCACAACGGCCACCACGAACTGAGCTTGCGCAGCATTCACGGCATTCCACGGAGACGGTTCAGGCCTAAATGCTAGGCGAACACCTGTATGTGCTTTTGTACGTCACATTGCATGTACGCATGTGCGCTGTGTGTGCGTGTGTCTGGTAGGATTCGGGATGGCAAGCAAGTAGGCAACTGGTAGCAAAGTATAAGACCTAGGATAGGAGGAGAGGGCAAGGTAGGCTTGTGCAGTTAGGTAGGGGTGGCGCAGACAGGTTTTTTGGCAGGTAAGTAGGTCAGGAAAGTATTGTGGATGTGCGTGTGCATGAAGTGCAGAGCACTGCAAGGAAGAGAAGCCAGAGAAGCAACGAAACAGGTCAAGGGCGAGGAAGCGGTAAACGGCACCTAGGGGACCTTTCCTTGAGATGAAATTCTCGCTCCAAAGTAAAAGCATACCTAGAAGCATCCTGCACGGACATGTAGTGGAAGGCATACATGGGAGACCTTGTAAACTTTATGGAGATGTAGATGTGTAGACAGAGCCAGACATCTGCCGAGCGGCCGTAGAAGCATCTGGATCCGTGACCAGGTGTGGCAGATTTGGGCCCAGAGTGGACATGGTGTCCCAAATGTAGACCTGCATTAGCTCCATCATCATCTGGACGCAGTAGGATGGATTTCGTGAGTTATACTGACTAGTACGTACCCAGACTCAATGCTATCGACTCAAGCAGTTCAACTTTTCTGGCTTCCTCATGGCGTGGCTTTCTCACAAAGATTTGGTATCTCTGGGGTAAGCACTGGCGGCCGGTCTAATACCCGAACAGATTGATCCAAGAGTATCCAACACACACAAACTATCATTGAAAGACTCTCCGGTCGAGACGACACTAACAGCATCAAATCTGATCTTGCCTGCACGACAGGCTTGGCACCAGAGTTGGGCCAATGGCCACGGACCTGGCCAGTCACGAAGCGACGCAAAGACTCAGGGAGCATGTCAGGCAAGGTCGCCGGTGTTGCCACCCGCAGCCACGCGCCGGCATCCTCGGCAAAGGATAAAGCGAAAACTGAGCTCGCTTGAATTGGCTCTCGGCCTCCTCGTAGATGACGCCCAAGTAATCCGCCAACACCCGTGACACGCTGCTCTTCCCCACCTCATCCCCCAGGTCTCCACTCTCCCTTTGTTCAAACATCGGAACCCTGGTAGGAGCCCAGCCCGCGGAGCGCCCAAGACCACTACACGAATCGCCGGCAATTGCGACACCTCGACAACTCCCTTTCCACTCTGAGCTTGCTCCACTTTTTGTCTTCGAGCCTGTGCCTCTTCGGGCTGCCGTTGCAAGCCCGCACGGATGGCGGTCGGGCTCCAAGCACCCGCCTGTCACAGGTTCCCCGACCCTTCTCTGCTCCCATAGACAAAGAGTTAGAGCCTTCATGTAGTCTGTGGCATTTGCCATGGCCACCTGTTCGTGGGCCTGAGCGCGCATTGAAGCAGGCACTACGTCAGCTGCACAATCTCAGCCGCTGCCTCGTGTTCGAAGAAGGACCATGGCCGGAAGCTGTGCTCCTGTTCGGGTCGGGAGCGATTCTCGGCGAACAAAGCGCAGCAAAGGGACGGCATGCAACGCTGGGGATTGCGTTCAAAGCCTGTGACATCAGCTGCTCTGTAGCTTAGCTACGAGAACTTATACCGTCTTACTTACCATCGACAGCAGCGTGGGAAAGTCTTTGGTTTCTGATGTTCAGCACCACCATTGTCAATGCCGACATCGAATCTGGACCAATGAACGTGGCTACAGTGCTACAGTGCTTCGACTCTGCTTCGAGGCATTCTCCTTGACTTCCAAGGCAGCAACGTCTTGCTTCTTTCCGTTGCGGCCTTGCTTTTGCAGACATCCCTGCGCATGAGCTGATGCAATACATGTTGAACAAGTCTTGCCTGCGATCGCATCTTGCCAGCGGGCCTGAATGACAGATTTTGCTGCGAACAGGAACAGCAAACTCCCAAGCACTGCAATCTCGTGACACGCTGCCACGGGAGTCTGAGCTGCATGCAGAAGCAAAGTACCTGCGGTGTACGCAGAGGATATGCGGACCACGTCGGTACTCAATACTGAAGGTTTTCTCACGACTTGTTTCCATGGTGCGCAACAGGCCGCGCACGTCGCAGGGTGTCCGTTGTTCTTCTCCGCGCGGTCCAGCCTCCTGGCCGGGACACCATCCCCGTAAGCAACTGAAACAGTAACTAAATTTGGGATCAGCAGAATGTCTCTTCGTTGCAGGCCTGCTTTCTGGCAGGATGTCCGCCAAAAGCGTAGGAAGCGGCTGAAGGCTGTCTGCGAAAGAGCAGTGCATCAGGCAATTCACCCAACGTCCGAGCTGAAGTGCGGCAGACACGGCAGGATGCCCGGCCTTCTTCGGAAGATAATCGCCTCGTCAACATCTGCACCTGCACAACAACTCCTAAAATCATGGGAGCAAAGAGAACCAAACTGCTCCAAACAAAGAAGCTGGGCCCCAACGTCGGGTGGCAAAGCCGGTGTCACTTTGGACAGAAAAGCTTCGTCTGGGCGGAAGCCGCGCTGCAACAAGCACCTTTCAAGCCATACCATACCACTAGGACTCGATGAGACCAAAATGAAAGTTCCAGCTCGGCATCGCATCATGACGATTTAGCCCCCAACTCCACCAGCAGCCGTGCCGGAGCCCATGGATCATCTCCACTCGCCCTGGAAGGACGTTTCTCGATTTCAACCCTCGCGTGCGCCGAAGTTAGGATGGCCTCCTGAGCCAGGGCAAGGGCAGCATCCCCGGCCGGAGTTCCAAGGGCACCTGCGTCAAAGCCCTTCTTCACAAGTCCCGGACACGGCTGTCAGCATTCACAACATCATGCCAAGGCAAGGCACCCGGTGCATGGGTGTCGGTAGCTGTGCCGCAAGAGGGTGAAGGACATCACCTGAGAGGCGGACATCCCTCAAAAAAAACATCGCAGGCTTGCTCAGGCTGTCACCCACTGGCATGCTGCAGGTGGAGTAAAGGCATTCGTCAGGATGTGGTCCCGGCACGTGTGCTCGGAGGCCAGCCAGAGCAACCTGAAGGACAACTAAAAGCACAGACAACCCCCCGCTTTAACAGACGTCACGTAGAGCTCGACTAAGTCCTTTCAGGTTGTAAACCGCCCCCACTCCGGGACAACCCGCAGATTTAACGGCAAACGAAACCATCGACGAAGGCATCCATCCCTGAAGTTAACCCAAAGGCCCCTGCCCCTAATCACCAGACCACGCAGCAGGCGGCCCAACAGCAAAGACCCGCGAAGGGATTCTTTTCAGTTTGTCAGTGTCAAATGTGGCTGGCAGTTGGGCGCACAGCTGTGAAGACTTGAAGACACGACATCCTTCTGACTGGCGATGACAACCGTCTGCCGCTTGCACAGACTCAGCACACTCCACAAACAGGAAAAGCCACATCTGACCCCCAGCGATGCGAGACGGGGGTATGGACGTCTGACGCATCAGAACACCGTCCACGGATAGCTGTACTAAATATGATTCAAAAGATGTCGGTGTATCGGTGTCGTGGCACTGACTGCGCTAACATCTCATCCTCCATCTATGCCTATGCATAATGCAACATGCTATGTGCACGGGTCTGTCATCACAGTGATGGCGAGCAATGGATACCTCGCCTCCTCGGCATTCCGTCGCTGCAAGCCGCTGGCGAAGCGTCGCAGCGACTCCACGAGCACGAAGGTGGCGCGAGTCGCGTGGCCTTCCCAGGTGCTACCGCCGTCACCTTCATGCCTTGCCTTCACAGCCACGTGCATCACACTATCGCTGCATATCGCTTCTATCCCTTCTTGCGTGCTGGTTTCGCTCTGGCCTGCCGGCTTCTCATCCTCTGGCTGGCATGGCCTCCCGAGCGCCGACGTGCGCATTCGCCCCACGAAAGCGCAAGGACGGCAGATGACTGCAGTCTCCGCCGACTCAGAAACCGACACATTTCCAGCGCGATCGCGCTTGCCAGGACCTCGAAGCACCCCGCTCGGAAACAAACAAGCGGAGGGAAGGAGCCCTCTTCGCTGCCTGCAGTTCCCAGGGCCATCTCCACGTTGATGCAGGCAGCGCTCTTCAGGACCTAGAGGCACTGCTGAACACACACTTGACACAGGGAGCCCCGTGAACTTGCGGCGAGCCTCGCAAGCGAGCTCATATTCGCAGCATCTTACTGCCAGCCTGCAGACATTCAGACTGACGCAGAGGGCATTCAAGCATCGCATGAGTGCTTCCAAGATGCAGCAGAGGGCCACAAGCATGGCCACTACCATCACCTCGAAGCATATTACACAGACAAGTTCCTGCGGCACAAACACGTGAGCAACCATCTGCTACGGTCGTTGGGCCTGTGGGGGTGGCATGTGGATCACCTGACAGCTTCCCGAAATACGCTCGAAGTCCTCACAAATCTAGCTGGGGCGGCACGGGCCTGCAGCGCGGAGCAACAGCCTCACGAGCTTGGTGGAGCGACTCGCGGCTGCCAGCAGCAAGGGCTGCACAAACTGTGTGAGCCTTAGCTCTCCAAGACGACACACGGCCCATCAAGCTCTGCAGCCCTTTGCAGGAACTTACTGGGGCGGCAGACCCAGATTCCCCCGTCAGCGCGGTGGGGCGCACGCGGCCGCGCCGAAGAAGCTGAGTCACCAGACCCTCACAGCCAGCCTCAAACGGACAGGTAACGGAGTCGCAGAATCTAGCGGATTTCTTTGCCAGTTGTTGACTGCAGCTCTGGAGGTGAGAGTCGCACACTCCGGGAATCTGAGGGCCGTGCCCAGCAAGCCCAATCCAAGACCGATTTGCCTGCAATGAGGTGCTTTGTTGAAATCACTGAAACCCGATGCATGGCACTGTGCAAGCCCTCCTGAAGAGTCTCGGTAGTTGGGATCTGCATGTCGATCGGTCAGCCAGGAAAGGACCTGATGGGCAGAGTTTTGCTACATATAGGCACGGGCTCTAATACTAATATGGCATGGTGGGCTCAAAGGGTAGGTGTTTCCCTGCCTGGGATTGGCTGAGCAAGGGGTTGGCATAGATGCCACGCGCTGCCCACAGCATGAGATCGTCCACCGCCATCCCTGGCACCGCGGGGATTCGATGCACGTGCAGTTCGCAGAAGCGCGAGATGCACTCGTGCCTTTTGTCGCTTCTCTAGATCCTTCGGTCAAGACTTCCAGCAACCTGCTTCCAACGCCCGGCTTCAAAGCGAACTTCGGACTCATCCTGTCTGGTCTCAACGGAACTTGGCCACCGACTCGACGGAGCCAACCCAGGCCGCCAAAGGCAAGCAACTGCCGGATAGGTGCAAGGGATTCCGCAAACTTGCCATGCCTTCCACTGCTGATGCCCAGTATCGACTATCTCGTGACCTAGTGTCGGAGGAACTCCTCTCTACCCAAAGCATGCAGCCCACAGTCTAGATCCAATCAACATGGTAAGGCCTGCTGCATTCATGTTGTGATTCCACATGTCTCCCTGTCAACTTCACTTCAAGACCTAAGACCCTATCTCTGCAACAGTCTTCGATGCATTTTATTATGCATCTGTTATAACGATGAAATACATGATTGAAGGTTCAATCTCACTGTCTCTTGCTGAGGGCCCCACCAGCGATGCACTGGAAAGCCCATTGTCAGCAGCACTTGCAACGTAGCCGCGAAGAATCGAAAGACCTGCACATGCGCAAAGCCGCAAAGGGGCAAAAGTGCATCGTGGCCCTAGCCTCCGAGACGTCGGTCGGGCAGTCCTTGGACCTCGAGCTTTGCCTGCGGCTCTTCGAAGGCGCTACTGGTATGTTGCCGTCAACAAAAGCAGACGTCAGCGCCGAGGCAAAGACTGGTCCCAGAGCACGCGCCGCCCCAGAATGACGGCAAGCCTCGAGCAATCTCAATTGGTTCGCTGAGAGGCATCTCGTTGGCTCAAGTCTGATGCTCTTCTTTGCGACACGTTCCACCATGCTCTGCATCTAGTGAAACAAGCAATCTCAGCCATGATCGGCGAGCATTCATTAACATTTCAGGGTGCTGTACGCCTGCTTCCAGAGGATAAGGCCGCGAGCCCTGCGCGGGTCCTCAATGGGAAGCCTCTGCCTGGGCGACTTGGTGCTCCACGTACCTGCAAGGGTCGGGGAGACTCTCACAGTTACTGGGCCTCTGGCTCTATATATTACGACTGATAGATTATTTATTCATTACTAATTATTAACTACTAAGTACTAATTACTAATTTATTAATTACTAACTACTTATTATGATTAATTACTAATTTATTAATTACTATAACTATTATTCATTCATGAATGGACTCGCCTTTGGTAGAGTTGCTCGGCCGAGAGGTGAAGAAGGTTTTGTTGGGAGGCCGCGAATTCCGCGATCTCCCGGATCTGGGCGTCGTCCCAGCCCCGCTCAGCGCCGTTCCTGGGTTCTTGTTAAGGGATTTAATTTAAGTTACCATACTAGGGATCTATAGTAAATAATATGGTTTCCTTATTATGGTAACTTAAATTAAATCCCTTAACAAGAACCCAGGTTCCCGATAGGAATGGTGTCCAACCACTGCCGGATCTTCCCTTCGGCCTCCTGGCGCAGGTCGCATCTGTCTTCGACATCTTATCCTTGTCATTATCCCTCCTAGTTTTTGGTGCTTCGTGAAGGCTTAGGGTTGGATGTCTTTCCAAATGCCATAAGAAGGTCGCAGTCTTGCCCCACCTGCACCGGAAGCTTCGGCGGGAGCTGCACCGTCCCAGCGTACTGGAAAGGGGCTGGAGCTGCAGGTGTGCGATTCAGTGAGGGACTGCGGCTGGAGACCGGCATCAGCGGTGGAGGCGCTGGGGAGAAGCGCCCTTCCCAGCTCTGGCCCAGGGGAGTACCGGCGAACATCGATAAGTTCGTGCGCGGCGTCGAGCCACCTGCGGGGTCCCCACTGTTTGCCTGCACGACATATGCAGTGCCCTCACCCCTGCCTGGAGTCTTCATTCCATTCAAGTGTCTGTTGGCATTGATCGCGAGAGACTCCGCCGTAGGTGTGCTGAAGCCCGGCGTCATCAAGCTCGTGATGGGCAAGAAGAGGCCGGGGGGAGGCGTCAAGCCCCCCGCAGGTGGACTGGCGAAGGAGGGTGTTTGTGAGCTCACAGTTGAGCCTTAGAATCTCAGGGCCAGCTCCAAAACACAGCAGGGCACTACTTTGCTGAGAGATGTTCTTGATTCCTGGTTCGAAGATGTTCGATGGGATGGTCCTGGTGGTGTCGATTCTGTTCCGAATGTGTGTCGGCAACAGCTTCAGCGGCTCTATCTGCCTATATACCTGTCTAACACTGTGTAACTAACATCAGAAACAGTCTACAAGCCTGGACTAGGTAATTCGGGTTGGGAGCCAGGGGTGCGTATCCGCGATGTAGTCACGGGCGTTGTGGAACGTGATGGCTGTGATGGGTGTCTCACGACTGCACATCCAGTGGCCGGTTTGGCCTGAACCAGCGAAGGCGGTGTCACGTGCATGTGAGAGGTTTGTGTCTTGGTGCCACTTGGGCTGCGGTTGCGGGCCGCATCAAGAAGAGATTTTGCAACCGCCTTGACTGAAGCCTCTGCCGCCGCCTCGGCCGAGAGCGTGGAAGCCCTGGCTGGTGGTACCACTCGCGCAGGTGGGCTGAAGACGCCAGCACCACGTGTGCGAAGGTCGTCCAAGAGCTTCTCCAGCTGGCCAAGGCGCTCCGTCAGATCCACCAGCTTCTCACCAAGGGACTGGGGCGCTCGGCTGGAGAGAGGAGGGCGACGTGTACCCAACAAAGCCTCTGCTTTGGCGGACACTGAGTTCACCTTCTCTAGCAAAGCCTGACCAATGGGCCCTGATGAGGTGATAGCTGCTGACACGCCGGTGTCGCGGGTATCCACACTCGTTGCGCTGCGATGGCTGGTGCTAACCTGGCTAGACGGGGCAGCTCTTCCAAGGCTTCTCCTTGGTAGGTGCAACGGATGGGCTTCCGCCACCCCCAGCGCTGTAAAGCGAGCAGCCGGGAGTGTTGCTCGCATCGATCCCGCGAACGAAGCTTCACACTAGACAGGTGTCACTTCACGCAGGACATTCGTGGTGCGTTGTGTTGATGTGCATGTTGGTGGTTTTACATGATTCAATGATGGCTCGGCTTCCATGGAAAGCTGCGGGCAAGCAGAACAATGCCAGCACACTTGCTCACTTCATCCCAAGGGGCAACACTGCAACTTGCAAAGGCACATCGCATACTCCGGCCCCGGCAGTGTGGATATCAGTGTGATGCCTGCAAGTGGATCACCTGCCAGTGATCCCGACACATGCTATCATGCTTCATGAGCCTGGTGCACCTGTTGGTCTCATTACCGGGCAAAGAACCCAACGCCCCTCTGGGAGTTCTTTGACTGTGAAGTGCTGGGTTTTATGCTTGTGCAAGATCAGTTTGGACAATCTCGCCTGCTGTTAGTAAGTTTTGAGTCGGAACCCTGCTCTTGTGCGGTCCGGATAATCTCCTCGGACTCCTGCTGGCTCACGTAGTTCAAAGGGTTTCTGAGTGTATCGGGGTGTTTTATCGAACTGACAACATCGAGCTTTCTTGCGGAAAGCGAAACAATAGATAGTTCTCTAAGCAGGCGGTGACACTGGCCTGGGCCAACTTGGTGAACGAGCCCTGCAAGGCCTTGGGCGTTGTGTGGCTGATGGATTTAGGCTTAGCGGCTTGCCTGCAGCCAGGGTCCCGACCGTGCTCCTGGGTCAGGGACAACAGCTCGGAGCCTGCAAAGCCGCCATCGCTGCTTTTGCCACTTCGTTAGCACCACCGCACTGCGACAACCAAAGATTGGAAGACACGGAGTCTGGGCTCGCTGCGTTGCATCGCAGGTGCCGCAGATGTCGTCGATGATTCCGTCTCATTCCTCTTCCGACCACCTAAGTCAGCGCATCACCGCGAAACGAATACTTCACCTTCAAGAAGAAGCGATGCAGCAAAGTACGAAAGGCCAGTGCCAGAAAGCACCAATGCGGTGGCTGTCAGCAAGGCTCCCAGAGCAAGCATCACTGGGGGAGCCTGTCAGGGCCGATAGTTGCCTATCAGCTGCAGCATCTTATCTTAGCATCGAGTTTGTCTGTTGTCCTGCGGCCCCGCCCCTTGCAACCTAAACAAAGCTGACGAGGCCTGCTCAAGCGGCTCGAGCGACAGCGGTTGGGCCTCGAATCTCGAAGTTGAATTTTTCATGAATACCCCCCCCCCCCCCGGGCAGTTAAGGCGCAAGCGTTGCCAGACACGTGCCGCCGGCCCATTGGGGCCGGGAGGGAGTTGGCCGCCTCCACAGATCGGGACAGCCGAAACTGATTACGAAGATTGCCCCCGAAGCCCTGATAAATCGATCAGATCTATCAAAGGAAACCTAGCCCTTCCACCAACTTCAGCTTAAACTGCTTGGCTCCTGCGGTCGTTTCATTCCCGGCATCGTCGCCTCAATTGCGAGCATTCAGGGAAAACTGCTTTGCAATCCAACGCATGGAGCACTCCGAGCTTAAAGCCACCATGTTCGCAAAGTTGTACAGGTTGTGCATTCCTACCACGAAACCGTCGACCTCAGTTTCGGGAGGAGAGAGATCATGACATGCGGGCCATCTTGGTCACTGGGAGGGATGTCAGGGCTCATGCCAAACCTCCGTGCTCCACATGGCAAGCCGCTTCCAGCCGTGGAAGGCAAAGCGGCGCCGGGCCCTCCGGCTCAGCGCCGACGCCGCTCACTCCTCTCCGGAAACTGAATTGCTCTCCCAACCCTCGAGTGTAGGCAGAGTTTGTCATTTCATGGCGGCGTCCTTTCAGCAGGAGTGGTGGCAAGGAGATGTGCGCTCGAAGTGCAGCGAGGTCATAGCCGCTTCGAACCTTAACCAGTCAAACTTCGGTAAGCAAACGATGTGCATCAGCTGCATACACAGGCCCGGGCCAGCACAGCGAGGTAGGCCAAAGCAGACTGCTGGGATCCTGCGCCCAAAACTGCAACAACTTGCTTGAGATCAGAACCTCCTCGGGCGGTGTGCCTGCGTGGGGCCATCTCATCTTTGGGGCAGGTGCCATGCACCAGCGCAAGAATTCTACAAGTGGCCCCTCCTGCAAAGTCAGCAGCGACAGGCATCCCCGTCGCACATGATCTCTCGGTTGTACCAGGGCATGTGGACCAGCCTGCCCACTTGCCAGTCGCAGAGGCAAGTTCAGCCGCACAAACGCCGCCTCCTCGCCTCAGTTTCAATCAGAATGGAGTGATATGTACCATCTGGAACCGGCAACAGCTGAGGAGATTACGAATTGCGGGAGACTTAGTTGCGTTGCTTCCCCTTGCATCGGATGCAGGCTCAATCAGGTCACAGCTGGCAGAGACCCACCCTGGGCGGCACACTTTGAGAAGCCTGCGCTCAAGACCTCTTCAATTGGAGAGACCCTGGTCAAGGCGTAGTAGTCGAACAACATGCTGCTGGGGAGGAGATTCCATCACATGCCACTTCTCCTCCCAAAGCTCGTGTCATTCTGGCGGAGCTCGTGGTCAATCACGGTTCCACAGTTGAAGCTGGCAAAAATGTCCCAGGGACCTAGGCAATGCCACTAACAATGTCGGTCACAGAAGCACAAGAAACCCATCTCGGAGATCGAGCTTAGGGACGTACTGTGTGAAGCACACATGGGCACGGTCTTTACCTGCCCCCAGCAGCAGAGGGAACCGTCGAACTCGAGCACCGAGCACCACCTCGGGCCGAAAAGCAGTGTGGACACCACTCTCTCACACGTGACTGGCTCAGGCGGCTCAGGCTCCCGCTCTGCGGGACCCGTGCCACCTTGTCCTTCACCACACTTCTAGTTGAGTGCTACTCGTACAACCCGTGCGCGCGGCCTGTGTCAGGACCGTCAGCACGGCGGCCAGGAGAACTGGAAGCGAAAGCCTCCTGAAGTCTCCACACTCGATCTCCCACGGCCCACACCCGCGTGCAAAGCTTACAGTCCATCCCGCCTCGGTCCGTCCGAGCAGCAAGGCCACAGGACGGTCATTCTTCTTCGCACGCGGCACTTCCATGGTGGCGAAGACGCCTAAGCATGGCACACGAAAATGTGAAAGTCACATGGAATGCCCGTGCTGTTTGCATGATTTACTCGCTCGATGCGGTGCGAAATACAATATAGAAACGAAGCATACAAGGAATCAAGACCCGCACTGTTGTCTGTGATGCTGTCAACCAGCAGTAGTCGTATGGGCTGCCGTGAGTCCACCGCAACCTGTCTTGAGGGCACATGTACTGAAGGAGAAAACAACATGAAGGCGTCCACAAGCTCAGCCCCACGTCGTAAGTTTCGTGCAGCCCAACTATCTGGTGGTCTAGATGTAGCCGCTGTGCCTGCAGCACGCCGCAACGAGCGCACTGCACCAAGCTCAGCACGAAGCAACGACTCTCGAAAGTCGAAAACGGCTCGTCAAGTCATCGGCTCTCAAATGCAGTCCGGCGACTTAGACTACAAACCCACCACAAGCCATCGGGAGCGACCATGTCGATCCGGACCCTGGCAGCCGCATCTTCTTCGCTCTCGACGTGGAGGAACATGGAACTACGAACTACTTAGGGCTGCTGTGCTCCCGGCTTCAAGTTGGAAGGAGGCGGTGGCAAACCTCCTTGCAGAGTGCAAGCGTGCATGCACACTCAAGCTTCCAACAGATTGAGTCTTCCAGGAACCGAGCGGAAGATGTTCGTTCCGAACCCATGCCTCAGGCAGCCGTCTTTGCGACGTACGACTCCTTTATTGACCCAGTCTCCCGAGCATCAAGCTGCCCGTGCAAGTGGAGCTGCTCCATTGGCGTCAGCTCCCGCACCTGCTGCAGCCCCTACAGTCCGTATACAGTATACTTCGAAGATTCCCTACTCGGCAGCAAGGAGCGTTGCGTGGCCTGCCAGGACAAGTTCGACCTGCCATCTGAGGTGCACTCCTTGATGCTGTGAATCGCTCCTCAAGCGAACCAGCCTGGGACTTTTTGCAGGCATGGTGCCTGGCTGCAGCAGGCTCGCTCTCGGCAGCTTTGGGTCTTCAGCTGACGTGACTGAGGGCCTTCTTCTGTGTAGGAGTTGATGGATTGCTCGGTCTTCATCTCGGTATGTGCCATTAGCCTCAGGAAGCTGCATGCCAGAATGAAAGAGAATCTGCTTTCAGGAAACAGCAACTCACCGAGCGCAATGCCGGAAGTTTACAAGCTTGTCAGCAGGATAGGACAACTCAATCAGTCCAAGTGTTGTCGCATCCTGCACGGTGTAGGTGCGTACATACTCCGCTGTCCTGGAGACTTGGGCGTGTGAGTTCATCCTCTGCTGTCAGGGCCGGCAAGGATCGACGCCAGCCATAAGAACTCTGAGGACCGTTGAACTTCTTCTTGTACAACCGAATATACTCCTCGAGACAGAGACAGATGCGCAAGAACCAGTGCACAAATGTGCACAAGAATGGACCAGTCGGACCAATGCTCCAACTACGGTTGTCCTTGCAGTTGATTCGCATTCGAACTGCATCTTGCAGTCCGTAGGCATTCCTGACGACCAACACGATGCAAGCGGCTCACATCACCAGCAAAACTGAACTGCTGGCAGTCGGAGCAAGCACATCTGAATGTCAATGTGAATCTTGCAGCCACGGATCGACTGGATCCGCCGCTTCAGGGCAACAAAGCTGCGAATTACATGCCTTGGAGTGTGAAGTTGCCAGACATGTTTCGTAGCTGGCGCTGTGCTACTCAACTCTTGCAGTCAGCATGCCATCGGCCACGCCCAGTAGCAGGCTTGCCGTGCCTGGCTTGCGGAACGTTCTCAGAACTCAGTGTCCTTAACTTGCAATGACTTCCAAGCTGAGCTGTCTACAGCGCATGCAGGAACGGCCACATCTGGAAGTCCAAAGTTCTTCGGACCTAACGTTGAAAACAAGTTGCCGCTATTGTCATACAGGGATCTTGCAACTTGGCCAAATCGCAGGCCACAAGCCGGCACAACGTAAGATCCCTGCAAGCCAACGGATGCCTTCGACAATGCTGGCCTGGGCAGGAGGTCCATCAACAACATGGATCATACACTTGGGATGGGGAGGGAGTGAGAGGCGGTTGCCTTGCGAAGCTCAGCCCCACGCTGTGAAACGAAGACGAGAAAGATTCTGCAAGCAAAGGGCAACCTGCGGGAGCAGCGGTTTATAAACCTTCATCAGAATGATGTGGTGGTGCCTCCAACGTCAAGCAGTTTTCCACGTGACAGTCTGTGAACAAAGCCTGGGACCTCAAGTATGCAGCAAACCAACAGCACAAGCTCGATCCGGGACATTGGACTCGAGTGTACGCGAAGCATTGTGTAACCCTAAGTTTAGGCGTTGGCTTCAAGTCCACCTTGATGGACATGTCCGTGGACGGCATGAGCCTCCCAGTGGCTTGGATGCATGAGATGTAGGCGAACCACACAAGTGCTGAGGCTTCTCCGACAACTGAGCGCTCGGCTGCTGACTGGCTGGGAATGCTAAATGCGCATCCCGGGTTTTGTTCAAGACGCGGACAAACCTCGGCGCAGCTGCTTCGTCGGTGCTGGGACGATGTCTGACGATGCACAATCACATGTCCAGGCCCTTTGCTCAACTTGCGACAACTTCTGGAAGATGCCAAATTCACCTGACAACAAATTGGCTCCACATCTGCTGCAGCATGAGGCCAAGGCCCACACTCGATCTTGTTGAATGGTAAACATCCCATGGGACATGCACCTTCGATGTGCCTGCAGGGGATCACTCAAGACTCCAGAGCGCATCATTCTGCAACAAGCAAGCCACTGGCCTGCAAATTCCTGGTACAACTGCAAACCTCGTAGATGAACGCTCTCGGCAAGGAGAAGCTCAGACTTGCGAGCATCCTGCCCATCGTCGACAGAGGTCGGACGGAAAAGACACACAGTGGCAGCAGCGCTTTACTTTAATGTTTGCTTGCATTCACTGTCCTCGTCACTTTGGCTTTCTGTAACGACCTGGAGCTCAGTTTTGTTTTTTTGCCACAGTTCATGCTTTCGAGCACTGCCCACTGGCACTGAGTCCTCGGCAGGTTTCACATCACAAGCAGCGATCAACAGCCCAAGGGCCAGTGGGGGGCCTGACAGAATGTGCAGGTCCAATTTATGGGCCGCCCTGCCCCCCCCCTGCCCCCGGGCTGGCCCCTCGCCGCACCGTTTCTCAGAATACCATCCCGACAGAAAACTGAATCAAGGACAATGACAAGTGACAACAATGCGAATACGCAGCACATACCACGATGCTGAGCCATGTCACCAGTTTGACCGGATGTATGTATAACAAGCGCAAAGTCTGATCCGGAAATTTGCGTCCATCGGGCTACATGTGCCCACCTGAAAACTAAAGCGGAAGCTAACATCTCCGTCCGGCCTTCAGGGTTGTCATGCAGCTCGCCTTCGATCTCCAGTCTCACATGCACATTTTTCACCTGTCATGACCAATTCGCTGCGTAGATTCATCGGGCAGCATGCAAACTCTCGAACCGTCGAGGGCTGCACAGTGACTCGTATTCGCGACAGGTAATCCACGAACAACTTGCGAAACCTGGCGCTTCAATGCAGACTGGGCCGGGACCAGTTGGCAGGCTGGCAACTGCAAACTTGCCAGGCACATGAAGGCACGTACAGAACAATAATGACAAGGCACATTTCGCGCTCCAAGCTTCGCCGCTGCGTCTGGCTCCGCATATGCACAAACCTTGGGCAACGTTGTAAATATTGCAGAAGCTGTCGGTCCCAACAGCCCATCCGGTTCCCACATCTCAGATTCGTGCTCTAGGCGCTCCATCTCGTTGGTGCGGTGCTGGTACACCTGGCATGCACGCACCATACCGGCTTGGCGGTGTGCGACACAGCGGCTTTCTACGGCTGTCTGTGCCTCTTCTCGGCTAAGCCATCTGCAGGCCGGAGCCAAGACTAAGTCGAGCCTTCACAAACATGCGTATGCTTCGCATCAGCAAGGCCATGTGAAATGTGAGAGCCAAGGCCATTGCCCATCGATGATAATCTCCAGCTCGCCCTGCATGATGGACCTGGCACTCGAGGCGTGCCCTGCCTTGATGCGCCTTGCGAGCTCTGGCGACTGCCAGTGCAGCCAGGTGGCAGCTGAAGCATGGCTGAGGAAAGCGTTCCGGCCTGACAAAGTCCCTTCGACATCTCAGCCAGCAAAGCTGAGACCCAACCCAAGCCTTGAGAACAAACGGCAGGTCGCTTCCGAGCAACAAGTCATCGACGGGCTCGGGGTTAAGCGCCTGGGCTTGGGTGACACTCTCAGGTTCCTTCCACTGGAGTCCTCACCAGAGTACCGTTTCTCAAGTTCGGGGCCAAGTTCCGAAGCTCTAGGTAGCCGCTCAAAAGGCCTGATGATGTCGGAAAGCATGACCGCAAGTGCGATGAGATGAAATGTGCACAGATTTAAGCTCTTCCCCGAGCCTAGGTTCAGGTGCTCCGCGTTGAAGCCATGAATAAACTTCTTCGCCTGCCCTTGTAGCAGGTCGGCCTCGATGGGACGTGACATTCGCTTGGTGCACTCCAGTCGTTCCCATCTGAGGCGAGCACGAGTCGACTCTCCAGAACCATCGTGGGCCTAGGGTCCAAACTCTGCAGCTTCTGCCCTGAAGTCTATGATCTCTGCTGTTGCCGTCACGAACTCAGGCTGGTACCTACTGCCCACAAGGGGGGAAGCCAACCTGCGAGCGTATCTCGTGCCATGCTGCTCCGGTGGGACTTCGAATCGTCAGTGACCCGATCTGAGCGCAAGCGCCGGGTGCGGGCTCTGCTCGAGCACGGAGCACGGCCGCGAGCACTTCCCGACCGGTGGTCCCCCCCCTGAGACTTGAGCCGATCTACGGGAAGGGTTGCGACGCGAGAAGTTGAAACGCTGGCGTCATCACGCTCAGCACGCCTGTGGCCTAATTATTCCAAGTATGTCAAGCTTCGCACACTGCGACTGTGACTCTCGGCTCGCTCACATCCTTTCTTCGCATGCATTGCCTGAGGCCCTACCACCCAGCTATGGGTCGACCCAGACTTGCGGTGAGACATGACTAGAGGGAAAGCAACAAAGAGAGAGAGAGAGAGGGGAGAGAAAGCTGAAACGGCAGGAACCTGTCAATTGTTCACTGGAGGGCTTCTGGTGTCGAATGTGAAGATGGTCCTGACCGGGTACAGTGAGTTCCTGACTGCAGAGGCACATTTCAGGTGCAGCTGCATCCTGCTGCCCAATCTGAGCTCTGCATCGGCCTCAGCTGACACTAAGCGAGTCGAAGCCAAACAAGCATCGCCACAGCAAACCAGAAACTCGCGAGAGCATTCTGCCTTCGAGGCTGCTGCCCAATCAGAAGCACCCGCCTTTCGGAGCATGTCCGCAATCTGCGCCGACCAGGGGTTTACAGCATTTGTTGATAGTTGGCGGGAATATTGCTTTCGCTCCAGCGAGGCCTCCCGAGCCCCGAGAGCTGTTGCCAGAGCCAGGGCACAGGTGCCATCTGGAGCCTGACACACAGGGCAAGCGACAGCAGCACTGGCAATCACTTGCAACACCACGACTTGATGGCCTTGCTGTCCACATCGGGAGTTGGCCATGCACACTTGAGCATCAAGCGAACCTGGTCGTAGACTACACCTTTGTTCCTGTCTCCGAACATCCGCAATTGTTCAAGCTCATGTCTGCCACAATCCCAGTGGCCAAGTCCGTCCGCTTGGTCTGGATGGCGAGGATGAAGGGTGTGGCTTGACGACCGATGTCTCGGTGGTTCACATCGGCACCACCTCTCCCGAATCCCCGAAGGCATATCCTAGGCTGGACATTTTGGGGCCGTCGTGCCTCGAAGTAGCGCAGAGACGCATGCAGCACAGCCACCACCGGGTGCTGTCCTGGGCGCAGGGAATTACAAAACATCTCGGAAGCAGCAAAGGCAGGCCAACGCTTCCAAGGCCGTTGCAGGAGATGGTGGTGCAAAGCTGTCAAGCCCTTTAAATCCTCTGGCAGGTTTCAAACTCTATATCCCCGCGTGTGCATTCCGGAATTCGGTAGCGGTAGCGCCTCTGAGCAGGGATCTGCCCCCACTGCAAGAAGTGCAGAGACATCATGGGCTGGGTCGTTCTTGACCTGGACGGCACAAGAAGCGGTCAGTAGCTTCGCATGCAGCCGTCATCTGCCGAAGTGACGCCTTGAGGAAGGAAGTCCATGCGACATCCAGATGCGACCACACGAGATCCGAGGCCTCGTCCTCGAACTTCCAAACGCGGGGATATCCCTGTTAACGAAAGAGTGCTCCTCTGTCGTTGCCACATTGCTTGGAATGGCAGACGCGCATCCAGGACCGTGCATCGTGATGTGGAAACACCTGCAAGGAATCTTTTAAGCTGGCTCAGGCATCCACTTGGCAGAGGCGTGGCCGTCAACTTTAAGTGTCGTGCTCCTCAGACCATTCTGCCCCAGGAACCAGCTCGTGGACAGAGAAGCCCACGCAATCACAACTCTCTGCTGCCACCTGCATTGCCCAGCGAAGCAACATTCGCCAAATCTTCTCACGTCTTCTCCCATTGCTCGTGTGCCTTTGCAGCTTCAATTGTCATGAAGCCGCCGCAGCCCCTGGGATCCGGCGTTATGTCTGTTCTTCGGCAGAAACTTCACGGAGGGCCGAGGGCTGCGCTCGAGCTCGGGGCCAGCCAAGCGGTGAGAATCTTGCTTCTGCCATGAAAGGACCTCGCTTGCGAGCGTTTACAAGATTCGTGTCAAGGCACACCTCGCCCGAACCTTAGCACGAGGAGTTCGCTTGACAAGACATGCCTGCAAACCTGCGTTTGCCAGTCATGGCAGTCTCTCGTCCCCCGACACTCCACTCTTCGTGGATCAGCCGAGTGTACAGTATCAGCATTGCGTAATTTGCCAGCGGCGGGTAAATGCCGATCTGAGCGGCCGGCGCAGGCATCTGCTGGACTGGAGAAGTCTCTCCTGACCTTTTACAGTAGGAGCTGATGTTTCCGCACCCAGCTAAAAAAAACTTGCTACGAAATAGAATTTGCGAGCAGAAGCATGCACGAAAACACGCTGCCAAAACAGCATCGAATCGCGACGGATTTCGGAGCTGGCAAGTCTCCGAGCAGTCTTGAGCATTCGGCCAACTTCACAAGTGGATCGTGCCCGCGCTTGTCCTGGAGTCGCGGATTGGCGCCTGAATCACAAGTCTCAAACATCTCCATTTAGAGCTAGAGTTTGCGCTCGAGCTCGGAAGCTTGAGACTCCAGCGCCGTTCTAGCAGAAGCTTGACCTGCTCTGCAACATTCACCGGGCCGAAAGACATCTAAGCCACTGTACTCGACAGTCTCTACATCGTCTCTGCAGATCACATTGTTGCGGCCAGGCGTCAACGCGGAACGTCCGGCTATGGCAGGCCCAGTGTAGGGAGGACGTACCGTCCGAGCCTAGCCGGAGACATCCGGAGAGAGATCGGCTGAAAAATTCTCAAAGCTTTGCCGGAGATGCTGCAGCGCGCATCGACGTCGGCACCGCGATCCAGAAGCAGCTCGCACATGGCAATGTCTCCGGCCTCGTAACAGCAAAGAGCGCCTCGCTAAAGTTCGAATTCCGCTGAGCAAAACCTTGACAGCCATCACCAAAGGCGGAATGCCCGTCTCCGGGTCGGTGATAGAAGGATTTGCCTCACCAGCAGCACCATCTGTTCCAACCGTCTTGAAGCGCATCTGTCCCTACCTTCTCTCTGTCCAGCAGCCACTTGGCAAGCTCGATCTCAGTGAGACAAAGCAGCACAAAGGGAAAGCACCGGCCCATGTCGCATTGCTCACACCGAACTCCTCTGGGCAAACCCACGTCACCATCCTTCACCGCCTGGTGGAATTCCTTGCACGTGGTCTGGAGGCTTCTCAGGGTCGTTCGCAGCACCTTCGATGCTTCCGCTGCAGCAAAAGAACTCCCCCGCCGTCCGGCCCTCCCGCCTCCTTCTCGGCCAGGGCGCAGAGGTCGCGCAAGTCTCCGCAATCCTCACGCAAACTACACTGTAACTACACCAGGACTTCACAGTTGCATCCACAAGAAGGCGCATCTTCGGTCCTCCAGTTCGCAGACCTCCATGGCTTCATCAGCAATGAGCAGGGACTCGCGCACAGCATCACCTGCATTCGACGTCGAATGTCACTCTGCAGGCGAATGGCGACATGGAGCCACATTTTGGAAGCCTCTGCTCACTTCTGTCACCAATGCCGCCTGCCCAACACAGAAAAGCACCTAACTGCGTTAGCTGAAACCGAATGACGAAACATCATGTCGCCATGCTCGAACTGACAGCCAAGCACCTCCAGGCACCGGCGGACTGCCATAAACAGAAGAGCCTGTGACTCAATTCGTTGGCAGGGGAGCAATCATTGCACACCTGATTGGAGCCTCACCTCTGCTTTTCGCCGAAGCTTGCTGTCCGCACCTGGTATACATCACAGGTGTGCAGGAACCTCAACCCACTGCACAAGAACACACGCAGGGCTCTGACCACAAATCCTCGCATCTTGCAAGGTTTGCAGCAGTGGATCGAGAATAGGCCTTGCTCACGTGTCTATACGGCTTCGCTGGAAGATCGGAAGAGTCGAGACCACAACGCACTCATGTCCCAGGGACGCGAGGAGCGCGTGTACTCCTCGCCGAACATGACAGATCATGACAGAAAGTCGCACGCAGAATCGCAGTGGAGTTTCCCCCATGTCATCTGGAAACTCCTTGCTGACATCCATGGTGTCCCAATATCTTGCTGCACCCGGAGGCCTTCATGCTAGAACGTGCTACAGTGCCACGACACGTCACCAAACCGGAGCCCTGCCGTTTCCGAATCTGGGCTGCGAGCACTTGCGATGAAGCCGTGCCATCCCCCTGAGCTCTTAAGGCAGATTCGAGCTGCGCAGCTCCGTGCACGGCCGAGCGCTGAGGGCAGCAGCCGGCCCCAAAGCTGCCAAAGCAATGACCCACTGAAGCTTCTCCTGCAGAGGCCCGGTTTTGGCCGGAAGAAAAAGGGAGACGAGCACTTTCCCGTGGCCTTGGAGGCTCTCCGGGCTCGGGTGAGCAAATTCAGGCCCTCGGCTTCCACTCCTGAGCCATTCCCAAAAAGCTTGTTGCCGCGAGCAGAGAGGGTCAGCTCTCCGAGGCGGGGACTTCGGACTCGCTGCTGGCATTGAGGAGTCGTGAACACAGGACCGGGATCCTTCGGGCTCGCAAAACAACCCACCCGGCCCACTCATCCCACTCACCAGCTTCAGTTTTAGGTCCCCGGCTCGCTCGCCGCGAGCTTTGAAGCGTGCTCGTGCCCGGTCACCTCGATCGGCAAGCTTTGCGTCCCCATCTCGCGTACAGCCCCACGTTAGACAACCGAGTAGACAACGGCGATCGCACTGGTATCCATCATGTTCGTGTTGATGGCTGAGCTTCCGGCGCTCGACATAGACATTCTCCAGTGCAAGTCGATACTCCTTGGTCACACCAAACCACCCAAACATCGCCGCGACCTCACCACTGGTGCCTTCACTGCAGACGCTTCAAGGGCAGCTTCCACTTTCACCTTGGTACAGTACAGTACAGTACAGTCTCTCTCCTACACAGAGCACAAAGCACTGCCCATCTAAGTCAACCACCAGCGCCAAGTTCATTGGACACTCAGGCGGATGTTCTCCACCGTCTGGCACATGAAGCTCGGGGATTCCCGTCGTGATCCACAAACAGCAATACAACAAGTACATCGAACGTGGCTTGGGCGACCGTCAATTTCATGTCCAAACAGTCGGTCACCACACCCATATGGACAAATCTCCTCCCCTTAGCATCCGTGGGCTTCGGAAATGAAGCAGCTTTCACAGCATCCTCATTCTGTGCACTCAGCCCGGTGTGCTCAACCATCCAGACGGCAAGGCTGAAAACTAGCTGGCGAAAACTACAGACATCCAATTCCTCACTGCTGTTGCTGTTACAACAGATCGGAAGAATTTTCGCAAGGCTTACCCGAGCATCCCACGATTTGGACACTCGTGAGCTAAATGTCGTGCTGCTTCCTGACGGAACCGCGGATCGTACTGCGTTGACTGCCTGGGCCTGGTGATATGTCGGCCTTGCCAGTGAAGAGTGCTCCGCAGTGTCTTGGACAGCGGCGGTGCTCGAAGAACACCTCTCACAGCTGGGCAAGTGCGCAGTTGCATGAGTATAAAGCGGGGGGCTGAGCTGCGAGCAGCACAGGATGCAGTCTCAATAAAGTCACCGATTCCATTGTGCTGCATCCACCTACAGTGGAAGGAAGCGCTGCATCTGCACTGTACGGTCGTTCACCACGATAGCAGTTACTTGCGCCTTGAAATGGGATCAACGACGAAACCCGTCGAGCATGAGAACACATGGAAGTTCAAGTGCGTGTCTCACAGCAGGACCGAGCTGCCTGCCGATTGCAGCTCTGGCCGGCGACTCGAATTCAACCGATTCAACTCATGCAGAAATTCCTGCTACACTACAGTACGGATGCGTGCGTATACAACTTCGGAGTGATACAGATCGACATGCACATACCAAAACCCGTCTGCGGACACTTGGGTTTGAAGTTTGCCATGGGGGGATGTCCTTGTCTGTCAGAGCAAAGCTTCGAGCGAACTGTTGTCTTTCACTGCTCGCAATGCCGCTACGTGTCCCCCGTCTCCAATAATATGCGCTGACCCCTTTTCGACGCCATGTTCGGTTGCACACATTGGAGCAATCCTCAGTCCCTGCGTGGCGTCTCCACGCTTCTGGACTATGCCCATGACAGAACACAACTAGACCAAGCTAACCCTGTGCTGTTGAAGGACATCCTCTACTCTACCAACAGCTGCCTTGCCGAACTTGCAAGTCCATGGGAAATCCTACAGGCGGTCACGGTAGTTTGCTGGTCTGCTGGGTTTCACCAGACTGGTGTCTGAGCAGCCCAACATGAACAACTTACATTCCGAATGCTTCCCAGCAAACACATGACCTGGGCCCCGCCAGCATCCCTTCATGCACATTTTGACAGAAGGATGATGCTGCAGTGGGCAGTGGATAAATTAGCAAGCATCTTTGACTCTTTAGTGTGTGTGTGTGCCCATGCTTTGCATTCTGTTTTGCTTCTGCAGTCAGAACAACGACACGGGCTTGCTTTCCCAGAAACTGCTATAAGTTATAACTAGCAATATCTGCATGTTGTATTTCCCTGCTTTTGCGTTCTCGCAGCTTTCGGAGAACGAGCTGAACAAGGCGTCGCTGGCGACAGTGCCGGTGCCATCCTCGGAGCTTTGCAGAGCCATGCTGGCTTTTGCACACACAGGGCAGGTACAGAGACCCGTGCTTCGGGCATGCGAGCAGACACACCTCGACAGGAAAAACAGGTCCAAATCGAGGTCTTTAGCCGACACTTCCGAGTTCCAGGCCGGGCCCTTGCGCTTCTGCAGCCCAGCCGGGTGCTCGCCGTCGTCTAGTGATAGGTCTGATAGCTCTGCCCTGTAAGATAATACGAACCATGTGTTGCCATAGCGGATGCTCCCATCCCTGACCCGCTCTCGCATCCCTTGTCCTCGTGAGCACAGCACCTGAGAGCGCTTGCGAGAATCCAATGCGACTCGTTTTCTTCTGCTGACTTCTGACGTCTGAGGTCTGAGGACAGAGCCAAGACTTCTTCTCGGGCGACCACCCTGCCTGCCAATTGGAGAGCCCGGCCAAGCAGTCGAAGGGCTTGGGCGTGGATTCCGCGCAGCCAAGACTGAAGTGAGAACAGCACCTGGGCACGGCAGGCTCTGCTTCGCTTCCAAAGGAAACACAGCCCCTAAGCTTCCCTGGGATCCGCACCATAACTTCTTGTGTGGCGACCAGCCAGCTTCCCAGTTAGCGAGGCCAGCGTGACAGTCGAATTGAGCAACGCATCCAGTCCCTTCGTGCTGACAGCACCTCACACCATAAGTGCCGACCATTGCATCATTGCATCATGCGCCCACAGCATGCGACAGGCGAGGCTTCTACCATGACTTCTTGTCCTCCGACCAGCCAGCCTTGCGAGGAGAGCACAGCGGCACTTCCGTTTCCGCTTCCCTGACAATCACAAGCAGAGAGCCTTCCAGTTGGATAGTCCTGCTTGGCAATCGTAGGCTGCGTGGTGGACGACGTAGTAGTGAGTGTGAGAGTGGCCGTAATGGAAGTCGCAGCCTTGACTGTTGCCAAGGAGCTTTTGGCACACGCGATGTGAATTGACATGTGCCTTTGCCAAGGTGGAAGCAACACCAGGCCTTCGTTAGGACAACGAATTCAGTTTTAACTCCTGCAAGGCAGTCGAAACCAAACGGCGCCTTTTTGTGGGGGGACCACGTCGTTTGCCAGGAACCATATCCATGGTCGCAGTGGTACAGCTCTGTCGGAGCATGGAAGCAAGCCACATCTCGGCACGATAGGCACGTGAATCCGAGGTGGAGAAATGGCGCGAAGCAAAAAGACTCAAATAGACTGCTGCCGAGAGTTTTCAAGGGCTGAGTCCACGGCGATAGCGTGCACAGCACCACGCTCGCTTATGCTCCGGCCAGCCTGGGAAGAGCCCTTTTGCAGCACCCCAAGGTCTGCATCAATGGGACTCAGCTGCCGACTCAGTCTGTTGTCATAGTCTTCATGACAATCGTATGATGGGCCCTCTGTGGTTGTTTCTGTCGTAGGTGTCACCGGCGGCCCCTCGAAGGAGCAGATGCCCTGCAAAGCAATCACAACCCAGCCTAACTGGACTCAACAAGCTCCCTCAGCCTGCATGTTGCAGCAATACTGGCGCTTTGTTGTAAGCCAGTACCTCTCATGTTCCTACATGCCACTACATGCTGCTTGCTCCAAGTTCAAGTTTCCGACTCTACACTTCCGACTTGAGTCGCTGACTTTGAACGCACCTCCTGGAAAAGAGTTCCGATGTCACCTGGGAGAAAAAGACTCTTCCAAGACACAAGACACAACCGCTGCTTACTCCACAGACCAGACCGTATTCGGCTGGGTGCAAGACTGGATGCGGTGCTGGCAACCTAGGGCTTTTCGCAGCTGTCTCTGCAACGGAACCTACTCAGAGAGCTCTCATCTCCGATCTCAGGGCTGGAACAGTGGCAAGGCCAGTCTGGAACTCGGAACCTCTCAGGAGCAGAATCCAGCTTCCGCGCAGCTCTCACATCTCTGAGACGCGCACGCGTCAGCGCGCCATCGCCGTTTCCATCGGCAGTGAAGAGCTGTTGCCCGAGACTGTCCTTGAACGACCTGGTGTGCGGCAGAATCACCAGCTGCCCTGCAGCTCCTCGCCACTCGAGGCCATGACCCATCTCGCTGCAGGGTTCCGAGTTCCGACTTGGTAACCAGCTGGTCCTGAGTGAGAAGCTGCTGCAGCGGGAAACCAGAGTTCAGACTGGAGACGAACCAATGCCCCGGCGGCAGGCCTTTTGTCGGTGCGTCACACACGAGACGTGAGAAGATCGGCACGACTTTGCGCGGCTACCTAAACCTACGAGTTTACCCTCTTGCATTTCAGCTTCGCTCGTTTGTACACGTCTGGCGGACAGGCGCCATCTGCTTCGAAGCAAAGGACAGCCGGCTTGATGCAGCCTCACTGTTTGTGGACAAGGCCCGAGTGCGCTCCATCTCGCTAAGCCTGCCAAAGAGCGGATATGAGCAAAGCAAAGGCTGCGAGTTTTCTGGCCGTGCCTTGTCATAGTTGAAGCCGTCTGGAGCAGGACTCGCTGGAAGCTCTTGACGGAGACTTTACAGTTTGGACATCTCACATCCGGATGGAGGGAGCCATTAGGCAAAGCATAGCGGAGTGAGCATCTGTAACATATGAGCAGATGGCCACAGGGAAGACACATCGTGTTTGCAGCGACTTCCCGACAAACCACGCAACTGCCGGTCGCAAGGCCGGCAGGGCCGGCGGGAGCAGGACCGGCAGGGCCAAGGCCCTGCCTGGCTTGTGCGTGCGACGCGTGCGGCCCGTGCCTGGCTCTAGGATCTGAGAGCACGCGCGGCAGCTCTTGGAACTCCGCTTCACGTTTCAGGCAGCAGGTGCATGCACGCTGGCCCATCTCAGCGGAGTCGCACGGTCATGGCAACAATGGGTCACCCTGAGACTGAGAGCCACTGCGGCAATGCACCCTCATCTCTGTTTGCATGCGTCTGATCGGCGTCTGGTCCACAGCACCAGCCAGGACCTTGACTGGACCATGTCATGACCCATGAGTGCCCCACCCCATTCTTGTCTGCGAGGATCCAGGCCTCATGAGTGGAAGCTGGAGGCGTTGCCGAAACACGGAGCTCTAAGGACTCTAAGGCTCGCGCTCCATTGCACCATCGGTCTGGGTCCGGTGTTCCAGGACCTCCCACTAGCATCGCCTCGGAGCCGGACTTGAGCTGCTAAAGGAGCTCTCACAAACTGCAGCCGTGCAGTGCGACCTGCACGTAAGCGTCGTTATCCATCATCGCGGCGTCCTCACTGCAGATCTCTCGTCGCTTCAGGCTGCCAGGCTGCGGCAAGCTTCTCAGTCACGAGCTGTTTGGTTCAGGGCACCGATCGCTGCGCCAGAGAACAGGTTCTCAGAATGCCACCTCCGAAAGCAGGGGCGTCTGCACCCGGCTTCTCCTTGCAGAAGTCCTTGCCATTTCTTGAGGCAATCACAGCGGAAGGCTGGAGAGCGGCAGGTAGCCGTCAGCATCCACATCGAGTGCCGCCCACCTGAAACACGGCTCCCTTTGAGCGCATCTACTCAAGCCTCCTCGTCCGTAGGGTGCCCCAGCACCGTAATCCTCTGGGTCTCCGAACGACTCGAGAATGAGCGCGGCTCCTGAGCAGAACCGCAGAAGCGCTTGAAAATGCCGACGGATGCCGGTTTCGCGCCTGCGGCCTCCGGACCCGAAGCCGGATACTGACAGATCCGCACTGGCCTAGGAGAGGGCCAGGGCGCTGCTCTCCATGCTCTCTCTGCAACTCCGGGCGGCCGACTGGAAGGGCACGTCTGCACCCGGCGTGGAGTGGTGAGTTCTGCCCACAACGGCTGCAAGAAGCGCATCAGGTGGTCCAAGGAATGACAGTCAGCAGGACCTGAAGAACAGCAACCAAAGCAGCAGCGGGACCTGGGTCGGAAGTGCTGATGCCATAATGTGACACACCTGTTGGCCATTTCGCCAAGCAGGTCTTGCATTTCAAGCTGAGCTTCTGGCCAGAAAGAACAAGCAAATGCAGCCACCAAAGCCGAAAAAAGTCCTGTGCTCTTGCGTCGCATGCTGTATACACACAGACATTCACTCAGATGTACTGAAGATCTCCTGCAGCTCCCCCTCGACGAAGGGACACGCTCCTTGATGAAGTCACCTTTGCCTTCCCCAACCTGACGTCAACGCGATGATCAAAGGCAGATGCGGACGCCAAGAAGGATGCAGTGCCATCTGTCCGCTTGCAACATACTCAGGCCCTGTCAAACTCGAGCTGTTTGCTTTGTGCCCAGTTGCCTCTTCCTGCCACTTTTGCTCCGGCGCAACTCAGAGCTCTGGGGCGCTGGGGCTCTGCGGCGCTGCATGCCTTCACCCACGTAGGTCCAGTTGAGGGGTCGTCCCTCTCCTTCGACCTCTTCTTCCTCGAAGCATTCGCACCTGGAGGGCTTGCAGTCGAGCGCCAAAAAAACCGTTCACACGAAAAGTCGCTGCCATCGCTGAGGTTGTGGCGCAGACATTATCCTGGGCAAGCAAGCAAAGAAAGCATTCCTATTTACGGAGGGTTCAGCAATCAAGCCGCCCTAGCGGGCCTTCGCAGATTGCCGCTGTGCAACCCTGGCCCCGGCGAGTTCAGCCGTGCCGCTTGAGCAAACAAAAGGTGTTAGGCGATTGAGCAAACAACGGCCATCATGATGCAAAGACAGTGCTGCAAGCTTGCGGCCTGATGCCTCGCAGGCCGGCAAGCATGTAATGTGCGGCAGTCTTTGGTTGCTTGCAACTTTGTGCCTGCAACCCTGACAAAAGTGCGTTTCGCACTTATGCCCTATCCCTCATCTGGAGCACAGGCCGGGCACATTGCCTGAAACTCCTCGAGTTGCCGCTGGTCGAAGATACAAAGGCTGATCTTCGTCCCAGTGCGCAGTAGACGTCTCTGACTCGCCGGAGGCAAGGATCGAAATGCACCATCCAAGGAGGCAAATGTCATGGCAGGCAAATCCTTTTGAAACGGTCCTGCGAAAATGCCCCCGGACACTGGCAGCAAACGAAGTCGTGGGGATTCGGAGGAAACGAATTCTTCCAGAATGTGCCTATACGCGACAGTAAGCTTGTCCACTGCGCTTGCACGCGTGGCGGGAGTGGACGCAGACATGACACCAAGATCTGGGCCCACAACATGGATGACCTGCTTTTGACCGTACCTGTGTATTTTAGCATCGCCTTCCTGCAGAACGGTCTGCCTCACATCGTGCGGAAAGCGCGCATCCAATCCAATCTTCAGCCATGAATAGATTGCACCCGATGCCCCCCCTGCACCTGCTGGCCCGAGGTTTTGAATGAATCGCAGCCCAGCCGGATCAACCACAACCGTATCTGCAGCAGGCGCTCGTGCCACCGGCACAACATGATGTGAAACGTCCAGCTGCACGCCGAGGACTCCATAGGGAACCACGGCCACCTTTGGCAGCAACGAAGACGAGGCCAAAGCAGTGGCCGAGGCTAAAGGCGAAGGCCAAGAAGGCGAGACTGCTCCGAGCTTCGAAAGGCTACTAAGCCCGAAGCAAAGCCCGAGGCAAAGGCCGAGGCAAAGGCCGAGGCAAAGGCCCGCAGCGGCGGCTGCGGGGATGTGCGGGAACTTCAAGCGGCTTGCCAGAAGCGGCGGTTCAAGGTCCGAGCCGTCGGTCTCCATCTGGGCCATGCTGAGCCGAAACACTGCAAAGCCAATGAAACCGCAAAGGCACCCCTTTGCCTCACTTGGCTCCTGAGCTCGGCCTTTTTCGCAGCTCTACCCCGCGGCGTCTCAGCTCAGCGTCTTTAGCTCAGCTCTTGTGGCTCACTTGCAGTGTGCGAAATCTGAGGAATCGGAGGCAGCGCCGGAGCTGCTGGAGCCTGTACGAACCATTGTCGGGATGGAATCAGCTGCACCCGGTACAGCGTAACCCCTGGCCTGCTGACTGCTCTATCTCTGTGTTGAAGCTACTCAACTTTGACTGCTCAACGAAGGTCTCGTCCCCGAACACCCTTGGCTTCCGACCGCAGTGACTGAAGGGGCTGATGAGCCACCGAAGATATCCATGACCTGACGCTGGCAAAGTTCAGCTTAGGGGAGGATGACCTGACGAACGGTTTTGAGCCTACCTCCTGTTCGATGCAACGCATGGAGAAGACATGAAATGGGCGTGACTACCCGAACCCATAACGCAAGGCTCAGGCCTCGGGCCTTGGGATTCTGCATGGCTTTGACCGATCCGAAGATTGTATTGCTTATCTGGATTCAAGTGTGGGCACACAAACTCTCCCGGACCTTCTGAGCTTCATCGATGACCTTCTTTGCATTCACCTTCTGCTTCTGGGCAGCCTGTGAGACAGGACTAGAGATGTCTCTTCCGTCTGGGTCCGAGTAGGGTCTTCCACGTTCGATGCTTCGGCTGCGCAGTCTCGCTTAAGGAGTTGGAACATGCGCCAGGCCCACGTGACCAGTGGAAGCGGCTGTAACTCTCCGATGTACGTAGGATGCTTCGACCACACGAGCGAACCTGCACCTGCTCCAAAGCCAGTCTGGCCGCAGCCTGCTGAGCAGTCTCCTGCGCAAACTCGGGGCGGGAATGCCTTGCAGGACATACTTACCGCGGAAGGCCCGCATGTAGCGTCTTCCTTTGCAGCAAGCTCTTGGGGAAATTTCATTTGTGTGGTGTTCATCTGCCGCAAGCTACAGTGCAAGAGCCATTGTTAGGCCTTTTTCTGTTTGAAGCTATTGGGGAATTACCATTTGCAGAGCTTCTTCGGCATCGAAGGTCGTCGGGAATTCCCAGTTGAAAGCCTTCGTTTTGTGCGAAGCTATTCGGGGATTTCGAGAGCGAAGTGTTGTTTTGCTTCAAGCTATTGAGGAATTACAACGTACAGGGCTGGTTTAGCCAATTCTTTAGAACTGGTCGGAAATGCCGATGCGTAAAATATTCAAAGCAGACCCGATTATGCATGCTTCTTTTTTTGATTGCTTTCCAACGTTTGAATAGGAAAATCACACCCGCATTTACAAACACAATGCCTGCATGATGGCTGTTGAAAAGTTATGGTGTGATGTTCTTGAAAGCAAGCTTGCACAGCGTAAAAAGAAAACGTGGGGGTTGGGGTGGCGCAGCCCCCCCATTTGCAAGCACAACGTCTCTATGATGGATTCTGAGGTTCATTTGGGTTCTGTTCTTGATGGCAACATGATACTTGACGCGAACCTGCACAGCCAAAAGCAGCGGGGGGGCTGTGGGGGGCAAAGCCAGCCGCGTTTGCAACCTGTATGATGGGTATCGAAAAGTTCTATAAGAACTGTGTGCTTGACACACTGCACAATGTTCGTGAAAGCAAGCCTGCACGGCCGCAGCCTGCCCAATCATTCCCAAACGCAGTGTCTGCATCACGGGCTCTGAAAGGGTCCATAAGGGCTCCATTTTTGCTGACATGATTTTGTTTGAAGCGTTGACGCACTTCTTCTTCTTAGCGCGGTATTCTGAAGAGCAAGCTTGCGCTGCTCAATAAGAAAGCGATGAGAAGCTGCGGCTTAAAAAGCCCGGGATTGGTATTACTAGTAAACGTAGGACTACTGTAATTCCATAGAAAGCATGGTAATACTCGTAATAATATGAAATAACCGCGGTAATAGGAATAATACTACTAGTATAGCAACAATCTCACTAATTGTGATGTAAATGCTTTAAATTAGTATATTGGTAGTACTAATGAAACTAGTAAACATACCAAAAGTACATGACAGTCGGCCAGCGGACCAGGGGCAGCAACCAGGATCAGGGAGGAAACCATGACCTGGACGTCAAGCAGCAGGACCAGGCCAGGCACCAGCGGACCAGGACGGGGACTAGGGACCAGAGGACCAAGGGACCAGAGGACCAGGAGGCCAGGAGACCACAGGCCGAACCAGGGCTTGGCCAAACCTCTCAAAAAGCCAAGCTTGGCCAAACCTTCTAAAAAAAAACCTGGACCCGCCGTTCATGGACATCTCCTGTCTGCGAGTTGCACAAGGAACAGGCGCATCGGTCGGGCATTCGGATCCACCAAGCGAACTCATTGCCTCCACAATTCCGGAGGTTAGGTGGTTGGAGCCTTTTCGTCGTTGTGGTCCCAGTCTTTCGAGACCGTTGCCCTCAAATTGCAAAAAAAACATAACAACACCCAAAACAACCTGAGACAAAATACCAGACACAAGACTCAGATTCGCAAATCTCGGCTGCGAGTCCTCGCTTGAAGCCTGCGACATGGCTGTGCGGGCGTCCGAGAGTGCCTTTCCCAAGATGTTCACAGCGTCCTTGTGCGGGCTCACAGCAGCTTGAGATAGCTTGGCTTGAGCCGGTTCCCAATTTTGGGTTCCCGATGGTTCCGGGCTCTCATACACATGCACATGACGTGTTGAAATCTGCAAGCATGCATTGGCCGCGACGCCATCAGGGGTTTTACAAATGGGTGCGCATGCCCACAAAACCGTCAACGATCCTTAAGATCGACACCTGCTGAACGCCAAGCAAGCTGTTGCGAAAGGGAGCACACTTGGTGGGCCACCTTGCCTTGACTGCACGCATAAAAAAAGGCCCAGATGCGTCACCGTACTTGTCCTAGATTTCCCTCGTTTTGGTTTAGGGAGTCCTGGCGCTTGGAGGCGATCTGGCTCTCCAAGTTTTGAAGCATCGCCTTCGTGGACTCCACCTACAAAGACAAGGCATGAGAAAAGAAACGTCTGAGAATTCCCGCCGTTTGCTGACGGCGGAACTACCAGATGCCTGCTGCTGCAGCACGCTCTTGTCCAAGCCAGTCTGGTCAGCCTTGAGCAGGGCCTGCGCCCGCGAGCATCGATAGCAGGGGTTCATGACTCGATGATCCACGTGCATGTGACAACTGGAACGGCTTAGTCGCCTAGAACGAGAACAACAGGTCCTGAAGGTCTGCTCTGCTTCACGCCACCAACTGGTCTCTTCTTCAGTACTCGGGGCTCTAAGGGCTAATGCACGTTGAAATATACGTTCGTCGCTCTTGGGCCGAGTGTGATGCTCTGAATCGCTCTGAGCATGTACGATTCAGAGCATGTAGCAGCTACAAGTGCCAGATTCCACTCCGGCCTCCTGGTCTTCCAGCAGCTTCGTTTCGGAGTCGTGGGTTTTCTTGAGCTCATCCAATGGTGCTTTGTGAGCCGCCGCCTTGCGAACGTCTTCAACGATGGCGGGCAAAGCCTGCTGCGCCTCGCTGTCGAAAATGGCCAAGGACTGGCTGGGCACTGCATGTTGGGGCTCTTGCTGAGTGACTGTGGCTGTGCTTGGTTGGCTGGGTTGGGAAACAGGTGGCAGGCTGATGGCTGCTGGCAGAGCACTTGCCGTGGAGTTCACAGCGGCTGCAGCTTTGTGCTGCTTGTGGTGGTGCTTGTGATGCTTGTGCTTGTGCCGGTGTTGGGATGCACCTCCAAGAATGTCCAAACCTTCGGCTTAATTCAATTGGACAGTAAGGCAGGCTCGCAAGAACCAACGAGGCGCCTTGAACGCAAGCTGCAAAAAGCGCGAGCGCAGACACACGGGCAATCAAGAAGCTCATGGCTTCAATGCCACAGCTACTCTACGTTGGGATTCAAAGGTTTCCCTTCGAAGCTGGCTGCAGAATCGAACGCAAACATGAGTCGCAGGTGTAGAAATTAGCGCCCTTGCTTTTGGGTCCTTCGGTCGCCCGCATGTCTTCAGAGCGATACTTATTTCCACTCGCAAGGAGCTGACGCCTCGTTCACACAGCAGGCAGCGTGTCGACCACCTCAACACACAGCCCGCACAGCATGAATCGCTCCCTAACACGCCACCTAGCCACATGTGGCGCTGTCGATTTCACGCGAGGCTCTCGCTTCCTCCTCCTGGCCAGCCGAGCTGTCCCCAAGGAATTTCAGGATCACCTGCAATTCAAGCTGGTGTGATGCCTTGCACTTCGTGTTGGGTCTCGGCCTCGAGCGCATCGCCCTCCACTACAGCATCCTTGCAGGAAGAGATGCGCACAGAGTAGGCGGCCTGTTTGGGAACGGAAGGACAGGAAGTCCTGTGCTGCACTCAAGAAGATGCGGCGTCCAGCAAAGGCCTCCTAAGCGGACTTGACTGCACTCCCCTCAAGACCCACTCCCCACAGCCCAGAACTCTTGCTGCTATGTCTCATCTTACACAGTGGAGCTTAAAACTTGATGGAACCTCTTGTGCAACAGCAGCTCAAGACTCAAGACACGGCCCAGGGTCCAAGAAGCTGAACGTGTGGTAGAAAACACATCGCCTGGTCCCTGCCTGCATTTTCATGTGCAGTCGAACCAATGAAAAATTACATGCCGACAGAGGATGTGACCGCCTGGAGGGAGAATCTGCAAGACGAGCCGGGGGCTGCCCCAACAAACAAGGCCAGCGGCTGCAGCGCAAGGGGCCTGCAAGAAAGGGCCCCCAATGGAACCTTCACTGCGCCGCAGCGCGCGGGATTAACTCCACGCCTGCACGAAGGCGGTTGTGGCTCAACCTGGCATCTGGCGTTCAAGCCACGGAGAAGTCCCTCCAGCCGGCAAATGAGCAACTGACCAAGTCCTCAGAATCGGGAGACGGGCAGAGTCCCACGAGCCTCGCAAGAAGAGAACTGGCATCAGCTAGCATGAGTGTGGGTTCCAAGGCTATGTCAGCTTCATGGAGGGGCATCCCTCCAAACCCAGCTGCTTGGACACCTCCGAGAACCAAGGGCGGCAGAAGATGCCAACTGCTGGATCTGGCATAAGCTTTCGGCATAAGCAGCCGGGCCGAATCCCTGCTTGCCGGACCAATTCTCGATGCGCCAGGTCTGGGCTTCGCGCAGGGGGCAGGGTCCCGCAGGTCTGCGACTTCGGTGGTCCTCTTGGGAGTGCGACTGCGGCTCGCGAATCCGAGCCGCTCGCCACCTCGCATGGATCCGGCGATCGGCAAAGGCGGAAGGCAGCTGGCACCTCCAACCTCGGGACCGTCCGCACATCGTGCCGCAAATCGCGATGCTCAGTTCGCAGGGTCCCGTAAGGTGGACGCAATGTAACTTGCAGCCACACCTGAATGGAAAGCATCCAGCACGAGCCCTGGCCCGGCACCACGGAAGCACCAACGGCAAGTGCTTAAGGCTTGTGCTCCGTTGCTGGCTTGGCCTCCTGCACAACATAAACACCCTAACAACAATTCCAGAACCAGCATGCCAGCGCAGCTCCTGCTGCAGCGGCTAGATCTCCAAAGTCTGCACTTCCCCACTGTGGACCTCCAATTACACGCACACGTTCCAGCTTCAGGGGCGCGGCTAAGCTTTTCTGCGGACCAGCTGCAGTGTGCAAAATCGTGATGCAGCACCTCAGGCTGGGTAGAATGACGACCGAGCGATCAATCCCATGTAATTGGGCAGCATAGCCATGCAAAAAAAGCTACCTTGGAACCAAACACAATGCAATAGGCATCATTGATAGCAACGAAGGTCTTCAGTCTTTCATGGCTGGGCCACAACCTTTCCTTTCCTTTGGCTGCCTATGCTCTGGCCCTGTTCAACACTCCTTCGGTCTTACGCGATGCTTGGCAGTCGCGCGAGCTTGTTCGACCCGACCAGGGCCTCTATTTCTGTCGGCGAATTTCGAAAGCTGATGCAGAGGTGGGTCGCTCTGTCGCAGAACTCCACAGCAAGCTGGTTTCGGATACCAGCTGCCACATCACTAGCTGCTCAGAGGAGGCCCATCACAATTGCATTTTCACCGGTCACGCCTTGCCTTGCCTCGCTGGCTCCGCAAGGCCCAACCATGCGCCACCCGCACAGTGAGTTCTGCAGCTCATGACTAACAAAAGCCTCCTCAGCATGACGTGCCTGCACCACAAGCACTCCTCATGGCGACATCATCGAGCTTCGCCATAAGCTCCTTGGTCTCCTCCTCCCGCTTCGATGCGTCCGCTGCCCATTGCCTAAACATGCAGTTCGTTGTCCACGCTTTCAGCGTCTCGGCGTGATCAATTTCGCCGGGTGAACTGGCTGCATCGATCAGAATTATCACAATATCAAAGTCCTCAGGGTCCAGATCCTCTAGCTCCTGCACGTCAGTAATGTCGCCTTGTGCCTCTTCCTGTGCAGGCGGGCTTCTGTGCTCGCAAAACACCGCGGCTGCCACTCCTATTGAACGATCGCCCCGACAGGAGAATAGGACAGAGGCCGCTCGTTGTGCAGCACTGGACGATTCACTGATGACAACTGCATTGTGCAGGAATTGCGGCCCATAGGTGTCGTCAGACAAGTTTTGGAAAGCATTTGGCATGACCCTATCCGGCAGGCTTAAGCCCAAAATGACTGCATCGTGCGAATTCAGTTCACGATTCTTGGAGGTTCCCAGCTGCAAGCACACATGAAGAATGCTGCGGGCTTAGGTCTCTCGCTCTCTCTCAGCCAGCTTGGTTTGCCACTCTGCCTAGTCGCCCTGCCCGAAGCTCGAAGGTAATGGCCTCCACAGTAAACGGTCGGTGCTGACGTGGAAGAAGCATGAAGCTTACAGGCGCTCCATCGAGGATTCCATGTCCGCTTCCGCGATCAGGTAAAGGGAGCATCCACCCCTTGCGGGTTCACGGGTTCAACTTCCACTTCTCAGGCAGGCTTCGCCGCCTCGCACGCTTCGCAGGTGCATGCGTGCGTGGCCTGTGGCCCCGGCTCGCGAGGGCAAAGGGCATTTCCCGCAGGAAACCATCGAACTTGCATTTTCAATTCCGACCTGTCGCAGCGAAGACCAATTTCGCCGGCCCCTACTAGGCCCTACATGTCTGGGTGCACCGGCACCTGTTTGATCCTGTGGGGGCCAGGAAGATCTCGGCGGAGAGATTAAGCGGCGGTCTCTACAAAGGCTGGCAAAATGAAGCCAAGTAACAGGACTCCGGAAACTGCCTTCTTCAATGCCTGAATGGCGAGGCACAGTCCATTGCAAAGTGGTTGAGCCTCAAGCTTCTCGGCTGCTGACACACACCCAGTCGAAGCCCCAACAGCTTTCCTTGCAGGCGCGGTGTTCACCGCGTATAAAGCGCTGCCATGTGGCATCCTTCGGGCAACTCGTCCTCAAGGATATCCTCCTTAAGTCGCGTCTTTTCTGGTTCGGAACCCGGCTAGCATATATCAGAGGATACCACAAAGCTTGGTGCGCTGCCGACGCGTCTATGTCTGTCGGGGCATGCCACCAGATGGAAGCGTGTCGGGGCAACCAACGTAGATCAACTGTCCAGTTCAACAATGAAGTGCCTCAAGAAAGCCCACTCCTAGTGGTCCTAGTGGTATAAGCCCCTGCCTTCATGTAAGGTTCTCGGCAGTTCGACGCATTGGACCGCCTGCACTCAACAATTCACAGAACGCTCTAGGTTCGCTCCCACCATCACGACCAAAAGCACAGGCTGGCGCCCCCAAGTCCAGCTTCTTCAAGCCTGCACTGGGCTTTCTGCGGATGCATTTTGTCGTCTAAGTCGTCTAAGTCGCTTTGCAAGCATTGCTGACATGGCGATCCATGACAGCCAGACGCACCCACCAGCCAAAACCACTGCAGAACAAAGTCTACGCGGCATGTGCACACGTGCACCACGTGCACCGCTAGAATGTATGGTCTGGTCAATATTGGATGTCGCTCGTATCCCCCCGTTTTGCATTGTGCAAGTCAGGAGACATCGTGCATTGCCATTACAGCAAAAGCTGGGAGAAGAAGCCAATGGATTCATGTACAACAACAGAATGGCATGAGTAGGAGACACTAATGCAATGAAAGAGAGACACGCGCACTGGATTCTTGAAGACTCTTCCCCAACGTTCTATGGTAGCGGGGCTGCAAAGAAATTTCAGGTCCACCACGCAACCGTGCAAAGAGCATAATTGGACTCAACAGGGTGAATCCAAAAAAGTCTGGAGAATGGTCTGGATTCTTATCTGTCACTTCTCAACCAAGTACTTTGAAAGGCATCAGGCAAACCCACAAAGTAAAATTCAGAAGTGCAGTTCCAGAAGTGCGGGGAAATAGTGAAGCTCGTCGTATTGGGCCGCAGTGTGGAAGATGGCCGATGCACGGCGGTGGCTATAGAAGTCCACAATCGAAACACCCATGCCCAACACGTAAGTCTCTAGACTTAAGCACAAGATATACAGCGTCTTTGCGACAAGCGCTGAACCAGAAAGTGCCTCCATCCTTGCACAGAGCACGACCGGACCTTTAGGGCACGGTTGTCAGAACATCACGCGCTGAGAACTCAGGACCCATGGGCACAACGCACATTTGGAAATCGCCAACGAAAGTCGCGCAGATCCTCCACATCCAATTCAACGAGTCTTCAGCTGCCACACGTGCGAATACAGAATCTGCTGGCCTGAAAGGAGCGGCCCTTCAATCCTGCAAAAACCACGACTCTTTCGGAACGCATGGAACCATCAAAAATCTCGCCTTCAACTGCAAACACGACACTTCGACAGCTAGCCAATACCTGCATCATGTGGACTAATTGCGTTGCAACTGACACAACTGCGATGACAAGCCTGGATGATGTCGCCCGACCATAAGAACCTGGCCCACCTCAGCTCTCACGGCACAACGGCGTGCAGTTTAATTCTACTTGTAAAATCTTGGAATTCACCAGACAACAGAGTGCGGTCTTGGCAAGCAACGATTCATGGACCGCGGCCAACCTCGGCCGACAATCCAAATGTATAGACCAAAACGGACAGCCTGACATGTGACGGATAAGATGTGGACACAGATGCCAAGTTCACCAGTTCCGCCATGGAAGGCGGACATGTTTCTTTCACAATGCTCAATGCAGTACAACCTAGCTCAGAATTGCCTAATCTTTTGCTTCGTGTACACTAAACGCTGGTTGGTTCATGACTGACACCGCCGGGGGGTTGGAGCCAAGCAACATACAGCACACGTCGCGTGCGGTAATAAGGCCACAGCATTACGTGACATGAAACCGAAAGTCTCTCAAGTGTTGGCATGTACCGCATGTAGTCGCGATACTTAATCTCGTACACCGGAGACAAGATCTGCTGCACAACGCCGGAAACCGTGGATTCACCATTTGTCACGGAAAACACGGGAGCACTCGTTTCGATCCCTCCGATGGGCTGGTACAAGATTCGGACACACCGCTGCACGCCAACAGCTGTGACCATGCCCAAATGATTTTCTTCCACACACACACAGACACCTGGTCGGATGCAAGATTGAAACGCTGGTGAGAATCAGACGGCAATGACGGTCGTAGGTCCTGCTCTGGCGTGCTTCTGATTGCTTCCGCAAGTAAAGCTGAACTGGCAAACGCGTCACTCTCATGTGCAGATCAAGACTGCCGTGAACAATGGCGACAAAATCCATAGAGCTGTAAAACAACGAGCAACTGGGTCTCTTTTCAGCCACAGGCTGCAAGGGACCACGAGACAGTGAGAGAAAGCGAGGCAAGCCACATAGAATTTATTTGGGCGAAGGAATTTTGCCTTCGCCCTCCTGAACTGCCAGCCATTCACTCTGCTGCAACAATGGTCACAGGTTCCACCCACATGGAATCAACGCAAGAGTTGTTTCACTTCCAGTTGCCCTGCTCCGACTCCACACAGCTCAGCTGGTGTTTTGCCCCACGAGTTCTTGGGAAAGCGGTTGGCCCCTTTTTGCAAAAGCAAAGCAGCCGTGCTTGGATAACCGTTGTAAGCACAATATGCCAATGGGGTGATAGAGCCCCGCGTGCTCGCCATGTTGGGATTCCTCAGCAAGGGAGTGAAGCTTTCGAGGTCATAGATGTTCAGGTTGACCTTCGCATCGACCAAGACCTTCAAGACTCCCAAAAGTTTCGCTTGTTTTCCTGTCCATTGGCCCACTGTGCCGACGGATAGTGGCGTGCGGACAGGATTCTGCCCAGGGTTGAATTGCATGGTAATTTTTTTTTCCCACAAACCTTTTTAACCGTCCAACGAGCAGCGCGGTCCCAGTGCAGGCCCAAGGGCAGGCAGGCCACAGACTACAGGCAGGCTGCCAGGCGCAGCGCACGCCGCTCACGAGACGGCTAGCAAGAGGAGGCAGTGAGGCTGAGTCGGCGAGCATGTCGCTCAATGGGGGTAGCTCTCCATCGACATTCGCGGTGCCGGTGAGTGGGAGCGACAGGAGGCTTGCTGCGAAGGAGCGCGCTGCGGCGAAGGACAAAAGCGCCGACCACCGGAGGGTGAACGCGGAGGTGGCAGCAGCTCTCGAGGGTGGCGGAGCGGAGCGTGCCTTGCACCGTGCAAGCTGTCTGACGAAGGTGGCGGCCTCAGCACTCCAACGGCCGCCCACTTCAATTGCAAGGACGGTAAATTGAGTGGCCAAGCTCAAGGGTTCTTGACCGTAGTCGTCCTTGATGGCAGGATCAGCACCATGCGCAACCAAGACTTGTGCAACTTCGGGATGTGTGTTCCACCATGAGATAGCCAAGGGCGTCTTGCCTTTCTCCCCTTTGCAGCCGTGGCGGAGCCTGCACTGGCCGCATGCCACAAGGCTGTGTTGCCAGCTTTGTCCACGATAGCAGCGTCGGCGTCATGTTGTAACAGCAGCTGGCAATCCTTCCCTACTTGTGCTGCCATCATGGCTCCGTTCTGGTCCTGGTGGTTTACATCAGCAGCTTTTTTCAAGCAACATCCTTAGAAGTGATTCGGGGCCGCTTCCTTCAATTGCTATGAACAGGGCCGTCTTGCCCGAATCGTCCACTTCGTTAACATTCGTGAACGGATTGTCAATCAAAGCGGATGCAATGTGCACGCAACCATACTTTGCCGCCGAATCAAGAGCCGTCTTTCCTTGATTTTTTTTTACACGCACTTTTTTTACCAAAGGTCGAAGCGGTCCCAGTGAACGAGGCTCTTAAGCTGCAGACTACGCTGGGACGTGGCAAACGCAACGCACAGGCTTAAGCGGGCCGAGCCGGCAAGCGACTGGGCTCC